CTCTTAATCTTGCAGAAGTGTGTCGGAAAGCAGATGTGCAATGTGGCAATATCAAACTCTAATTTTGGGCCCGACCCATGTCCGAATGATTTGAAGTGGTTATCGGTTGAAGCTCGATGTGCTTGAATTTATTGATGTGTGTTAATTAAAGCTAGCAAAGAAAGATAAATGGCTACTTTAGAGTTATAAGTATACGAGCATTTGTGGTTGTGAACGGCAGAGCATTCTTTGTGCGTGAATTTAGCTTTATAGGTTTAACTTATATGCGTTGGGTGCCCAAGGGAGGCACTCAATGTGGTTACTACACAGTTGGATAGGTTTATAGATAGCTTGAAAACGAAAGAAAAAAAGCGTGTTATGAGTTTCCTATTTTAGCTGGAAAATGTGAACCGGGGATTGCAGGAATTTGTCTTTTACAAGTCATTTGGTGTATTTGTGAGTGTGTCGCCGCTGGGAGAAAAATGCCATGGACAGATTTTCATGTTACAAATCAATTATATTTTATAGTGTTGGACCTTGCACTTTCTTGATTTTTTTTTTTTTTGGTTATTATTATTATTATTCATTCATTCAAGTTCAGATTCAGTGTTCAATCAAAGTTGTCTTTAGTTCTTGATTTCTCTACTAGCTAATCAAATGGAAACTTATAATAATGTTTTGGTGTTGGGAAATAATTCTTTCAGAATTTATTGTTTTCATGTGAAATACATCGATTTTTTTGGATGTCCTGAATAATGAAAATAAAATGGTAATATCTCGAGAGTTAATATTGGTAGTGATGTAGCACTCAGAAATAGTACGATACATCAGTCTAAGAAACCAGCTTAGTTAAGATCGGACCATAAGAACTCCCAGGGATTCAGAGATAAGATGCTCCCCTAAGTAACTCAGATGAGGGCCTACGGTGCCGAGTTCGTAGAGCAGACCTGACCTGACCTGGAGGTATCGGCTTTCAAGAGCCGACAAAGTAACCGACCCCGGTATATATCAAGGTTGGGTGCCTGGGGACAAGTTTGACCTAAAGTCGAGGTTAGATCAGCAGGATAAGGTCAGGTACATCCTCGAAAAAGCCATGACATACAGGACAGGAGGTCAGATTCACGACCTAAGGATCCACGGGCTAAAATGGTTAAAAGAGGGGAAGAATCCAAATAAAAAGAAAATAATTACTCACTCAAGGAATCTTGACAACATAGAAACGTGATAAGTTAGGGAAGTATAATCTGACTGGATCTCTTCCTTAACAAGGACTCGCTTCGGTCCCAAGGTAATAAGTCTTATATAAGGACGACAAGTTCTCTCTGATTACACAACACACAATCCACACTTTATTTTTTATATTTTGTACATTCACAATTGAGCAAGTTCTGCACTTGAGCGTCATAGAGTCTTCTGTCGGGACCCTCTCCCTATATATTGTAGGTCATCGGAGGCTCGAAAAGGAGGATCATGCAAGGTGGAAAGTGTTCAATCCGTTCGTGACCAAGAGTGACGTAACAGGCAGTATAGGAGTTTGCATTAAATATCTACTTTTTACTGTTTAAGGTGAGAACCGGGTGGCAAAACAAAGTTGGGACATTGACTTACGATAAATAAATAAATAAAAAAAAAAAAAACAAAAAAAAAAAAAAAAAAAAAAAAAAATTACGAGATTATGGACTGTTTATGAAAGCATGTAGGATTTGATATTATCTCATCTGCGACCATCGGTCAAAAAAAAGTATGAGATTATAGAGTTACTAAATTTTACGAAAGCATGTGGATTTGGTATTATCTCATGCGCAACCATCGGACAAAGAAGTACGAGATTAAGTTACTAAATATTACAAAAGCATGTGGATGTGGTATTAATTGTGCCATTTTTTGTATTCTCTAAGGTACTTAGAAGTTAGAGCATGCTTGATACCAATTTTTCAAAATAATTCAATCATATTTAATCAATCATTTTTTATAACTTAAATCTAACTCAACCCCACTGTCCTCAATTTATCAATATAATTATCCAATAATTCTTACACATTAATTCACTATTAATCCGCTCACGTAGTTTTAATTAACCATCACTTCACGGCATTTATATACTACTTTTTCATCAATCAACTTTAATTATTTTATTTTAAATATCATTTTAATATAAACTCGAAATCTCATTAACAATTAACTATAACACATTCTTCAAAATTAACCAAACAAAACAAAAAAATTCAAACAAAATAAAAGTCTTATATTCAAAAAATTTACTATTTTATATAAAGTATGCTTTATACACCGATTAATTATAAAAGAAATAATGTATTCATTACAAAGCGCAACACAAATTCTGAATTAAAATCAATTGTGAGCATTTTTTAAATAAAAAGAATTAATCTCCCCCTTTAAATGAAAAGAATTAATCTCCCCCTTTGTATAATTCAAAACGGGCTGAACCTAAGTGGCAGACTCGTACGCTTTGGATATTGACTTGGCAAATATCCGTGCTTCATAATTTGGTTTATGTAAAAAATTATGGTTTGGAGTTGGGCTTGGTATGATCGATAAATATTCTTTTTATCTAACTTGGTAATTCCCATTTATTTTTGTCTATTTTGTTCTTAACTTGGACAACCAAGTACCTTCTTATTTTATTATATTATGCCCAATAATAGAAGATCCCATTTCATATTTTGATTCATGAAAAAACCAATAAATCTCTACCATTTTTCATTATAATTAGAGGCACGAATATATAGAGAGGGTGTTAGCTGTATACGGTGCATTTTCTCAAATTTAACATCATAATTTTATACACTTATTTAATTTGTATCATTCTTAAAACCAATATATGTGTATCATTTTTCATTATTTCAACCTTGATTCATCAACAAATGACCGTTAAAATCAAACCCTCGCCGCAATCCAAAAGAAAACCTCTCTCTAAAACTCGCCTAAATCAAACCCTCGCCGCCTTCATCTGAAATTCTTCATTTTTTGCCTCCCTCGGCGGTCGGCCGAGCTTGTCCGTGGACGGCCCTCCGCTGCACATCCATGGATCTGGTTGCGGAGCCCTATTCTTTCGTCTCAAGTCGAGGGGTTCGGGCTGGGTCTTTGGCAAAGTTCTCCGATCTGTGTGTGCAGCCCGTCGGCGTTCCGGGGTGGTGGGGCTTGGTGGGGTGCGGCGTCAATTGGTGGATGTGGCCCGGGTCACTTACGTCGACACTCGGTCGGGGCGACTCTTCTCGTCGGGCTCTATGGATGGCCTTGTTTCGGATCTTCTATTCTTTCCAGTGTTGTCTTGCGATCTCCGGTCGCTGGCACCTCGGTGCTGCAGCGGTGATGGGCCGGGGTCCGTTTTGAGGGGTTGGGTGGGGAGCTTGTCATTGGCTTGGGCTGTGTCGGAGCGACTGGGGCTTTGATGCCATTTTTACCCCTTTCTCCCTTGTTCTTTGGTGTTGAGTCTGAGGGAGGACCGTCGTTGCCGAAATTGGATAGTGGTGTTAATAGGTTTTGGGACGGTGTCGGAATCGGTTAGTGGTGTTAGTCGGTTTTGGGGGCGATTTTGGCTTCTTATGGCCGAAGAGCGGGTCAGTTTTTGGATTGGTTCAAGGCTTGGGTCTTCGCTTTGCTAGGCGTTTGGCAGTGGCGGGCGTAGTTCCTGTGCTTCGGATCTCTTATTGGAGTCAGCTTATGTCCGCTATTCAATTCGGTCGTTCTGCTGAGGGAGGGCTTGCTTGTTTGTCCGCCTTTTATTTTTTTGTTTTATTGTGTAGTTTGCCTTTAAGTTTGTTTGTTTGTTCTGTTATCGTGATTTTGATTTGAGCCATTGACCTCTGTGTGCCCGAGTGTGAGCTTATTATTTGATATAGCCATATTATCATATACCGGCCCTAGAACTCTCTACTCGACCGGGTAACTACTCAGACCGTCCACATGTCGACGTACACTCGTCAGCATACCTAAGTCGACTTCCCCAAAGTCGACTCCTCAGCAAAACAACTACGAAAGAAGGGCGAAATCCATGTAAGTCGACTCCTCGAGGTCGACTTCCTGCAGTCGATTCTAGAAGTCGACTCCCACTTCAGAGTAACAAAGCGTAGCCTCCGAATCCTCATGTGATTATGAGTCAACCTCTCAGTTCTCGAGGTCGACTTCTTACGCCTCGAGTCCGAAAACGTGATGACGACTCATCACACTTGTAGCATACTTGAGGCTCTGCATTCTTCAATGGATAAGAGGGAATCTTGTGATGATTCAGCCGCAAGGGGAGACAAACCGACCGGGGCATTTTAGACCTTTTATGTAAGTCGACCAGGGCATTTTGGGTACTTCAAGTAAGTGTTTCCTCCTATATAAAGGAGGTGAGGTAACCCTAAACCCTAACTTTCATTCATTCACTCTCTCCTCTATAGCTGCTGCTGCTCTCTGAGACCAGCCTCTCTTCATCTCTTTCACATACTGACTTGAGCGTCGGAGGCTCTACGCCGGAAACACCTCCGGCGTTGAGTTTTTGTAGGTGTTCACGGCGGTCTAGCAACGGTTCGAAGGCAATTCAAGCAGATCTGAGCTCAAAACCATCGCTTCTCTTCAGATCTAGAAGTAGACCCATCATTTTGGCGCTGTCTGTGGGGAGTTCTTGAAGGAATTAAGAGCTTTGCACCTAGCTCCGATCTGTTTCTGATGGCTGAGAAGGAAGGTTTGTAGAGGAACTTGAATGAGAAGTTTAGGGGGGCTTGGACAGACAGGAGACCACCATCACTCTCTACCCCTAGACCTCCACTGATGCAGATGCTGGGATTACTACCATTTGGAGGACTTCCGCCGCTGGGGATGAATCTGGGTGGAGAAACACCCATTACTCCACCCGGAGTGAAGATGCAAGTGTTGACCCAAGTAGGAGCAAGTCAAACACTAAACCCTACTTTAGGTATTGGAGAGAAGGAGCCAACGATGTCTTGACATGAGGGAAAGCAAATTCAGGAGGTGCCGGAGCAGACACTAGCACAACCCCGCGTCGAGGAGCAAACACTGACGATGACGAGGAGCGAGATGCAAAAGATGATCGCTGAAGCTGTGGCCGCCCAGATGAAGCAAGTGGTGCGAGTCGAGCAGAATCCATAAGTCGAGCAGAACCCGCGGGTCGAGCAACAGCC